GTATCTATGTATCTAATGTATACTCTGGTTCGAATAAATAAATTTTTGAAATTTCTATGTTATTTAAATGGTAATCCAAGTGTATTTGGCTGCACATGACTTTTTTCACAAAGATATTAGGATCGTGCAACAGTTTAAAAGAGCGCCATCATTGGCGACACTCGGAGTCACTGGGACGGAGATAATGCACGGAAGTGACGATTTCTCATTAATAATTTAATCTTACAAATTTATCGAGTTACAAGACGTTTATACAAGTAATAATGAATTTTCCATTGTCTGTGATAACCTTATCCATTTTTCTGAAAACAAACATCACAAAAAATATATAACCTCAAAGCGTGTGGAAGAAAACAATGAATTAGATAACTTAAATTCATTATTACTTGTATAAAACGTCTTCTAACTCGATAGATTTGTAAGATTAAATTATTAAAGAGAAATTGTCACTTACTTCCATGCATTATTTCCGGTCCAATGACTCCGATTATCGTCAGTGGTGGCGCTCTTTTTCAAACTATTGCAGTGCAACGGTTGCACGGTCCGAATTGATAAAAAGTATTCCAGGTAAAGGTTAATATTGTATATATATATATATGGATATATATATATATAGTTATGTATATTCTAATTTTCTAGTGAACATAGAAAATTTCAGGGCTTACGTTGCATGGATTTGGAAGATAATTTTTCATTGGTATACTGCAAAAACGGTATAAGCTCATTTCACTCGAAAGATTCCATTTAAGACATCCAATACTCGATAATATTTTCATTAGCCGATAATGATAAGTTGGACGTTGTAAAAATGGTAAAATCTCCTTTCCATTCCGATTTGATATTTGAATAACTTTTCCATCATAAAATTTATACGTGGAGTTATGGTAAGACCGTATCAATAACGAAAATTCTACTTTCTTCAATTGTGGATGTTCTTGCAATTTCAAACTGTTTCTCAACTGAAAGTTTCGTTTAATTTGGAAATACGCCCAAATAAAATATCAACGATCACCGATAAAAACAGTGTTTACCTTAAGAACTGCAATGTCGTGCTCACCAGGAATATATTGACTAGGAATGTACATCTTTTCGATGTGTCCAATAATTTCAACTCGAGATTTAAATACTGGATTCCTTCGTGCGATCTTAATACCGTCTTGCACGAATTTGTTGTTACTAGCATCTACGATACAATTAGCAGCTGTTATAATGTGGTGATCACTAATAATGGCACCTCCGCAAAAGTGGCCATGTCTATTCCGAAGTGATACGTAGTAATTTAATACGTTGTCTGATGTTATCGATTCACTACGCTGATTTCCAAATTCAAGTGCAACAACTAAAAGTCACAGTCATAAAGTTAATGCACTCATACGTTAAAATATGCATATTTGCACATTTCAGAGCTGAAAAAATTTTCAATAGGGATGCGATGAATTGTTAATTATTTTTAGTCGAATGGATAATTTTGATTTAAGTTATACAGGTACAAAATGTAGGACTTATTTTATTTTCTATCGAGATATTCAAGTGATAATATAAAATCAAAGTTAATGGAAAAGTATTTATTTTAATTTGATTTACGTTTAATCCATGTAATTATCACAATTATCTTAATGAATTATGGCAATGACGTTACTTTCATAATGTTTTATGATGAAATTTTATAACAATTTCATCGTACTGAATTAACGAATTCGTCTAAGTAACATCGATAATAAGCTGGGATGTACTAATAGTTAAATAATTATTTACGTACATGTCTCATGTAAATGTATTTACTTTGCCGTAAAATTTTTTAAGATTGAAGTTACGGTTATTGGCTGTTTCAAAAATAAATGTAATTTGAAGAGTTTCAAAACTGCTAATCAAACTAATTCGCAGCTTTAAATTACCTCAATTAAGGAAACTGACTGATCTACTTTAATAAACCTTATTTATGAGCAGATAATATTATACTTAATTGAGCTTTATTTATTTAACCCTTGTTTAATTTTCTTAGTCAGTTAATTCATGATAGTAGGAAAAAACACAATAAAAATTGTTTATAATCATCAGAAAACATACGTCACGCTTTTTTTATTTTTTACATTAACATTAACTTACGGAAATAAAGCACGTCAAAGTTTTGGGTGATGTCACAGTCATAGTAAGACGATTATACACATTATATACAATCTATATTACATGTACCCTTATTAATATCACTTCGTTAATCAAGCCGATGCGACACACTTTATCTTTGTCAACTTTTTTATTTATTTAGAAAAATAAAAAATACATATCTAATTTTTTTTATAATTTACCAGACAAAGTAAATAAATATTATTTTAAATCATTCCACATAGAAAAAATTATTCTCTTGACTTATTATTCAATATTTTATTCATAAGCAGCATAAAAGCAATTGAGAAATTTTTTAAATTTATTTTATAGCACAAATATTTGTTACTCGATAAAAAGTATATCATTTACAAAATTCTCTAAATCTGGAAGTTACTTTGATTGAAGGTTAGTACTTTTATATTCTTATGGGAACACATAAATTAACGCCTATTTGAACCGTGCAACAGTTTTAAAGAGCGCCACCACTGGAGACAGTCGGAGTCACTCAGCGTTGGCCGTTGGTCGCGATGGCGCGATGGTCAAAAGTTTGATGCCAACAGCTGAGTTCAGAGCGCTTCTTTACCAGCGCCACCGTCGGCCAAGCTTTGAACCATCGCTGATGTACACACATAGTATATATCTACATATAGTTCACGGCTTGGCCGGCGGTGGCACTGATAAAGAAGCGCTCTGAAGATTGTGATTGGCAGCAAACTTTTGACCATCGTGGCCAACACTGGCAGTCACTGAACTGGAGATAATGTATGGAGGTAAGTGACAATTTCTCATTAATAACTTAATCTTACAAATCTATCGAATTAGAAGACAAGAATATACAAGTAATAATGAATTTTCCATTGTCTGTGATAACCTTATCCATTTTTCTGAAAACAAACATCACAAAAAATATATAACCTCAAAGCGTGTGGAAGAAAACAATGAATTAGATAACTTAAATTCATTATTACTTGTATAAAACGTCTTCTAACTCGATAGATTTGTAAGATTAAATTATTAAAGAGAAATTGTCACTTACTTCCATGCATTATTTCCGGTCCAATGACTCCGATTATCGTCAGTGGTGGCGCTCTTTTTCAAACT